TAGCTTCTAATAAAACATCTTCTTGTGTGGGTCTATCTATGTTTTTTAAATTTTCATATTCACTCTCAATCCAAGTTATTTTAACAAAACCTTTCATTTTATCTGTTTCTGTTGGTTCCTTCCCCAAGTAATCCATGTAAACAGAATTTGTTACCTCGGTGGGACCATTGATAGCTTTGCCATCAACTCGCAGACCTAGTAACATACATGTATCTTCTAGGGTTATGGTGCATTCACCGGTTGGCAAGTGAAAAGTGTGCGTCTCTGGTCTCCACTTCTCCAACAGAGCCAGAACTAAGCTTGAGTCAATTTTCAAGCTGTTTATTTTTGAAATGTTTGCGAATCCTGCGATTTCAAGATAAGGCATTATTCTTGCATTCGCTTGAACCGGAGAATGTGAATGCACCCTAAACCTCGGAGCATTAATCTGTAACAATATTAAACCAACATTAATTAGTCACGATTTTTATGTCGAAAAAATAAATTCACAAAGAGCAATATACAACAATATATGACAATAGAACTTACACTATTATTGATATTTTGTTGAGTACCACGGTGGTCTTCGCCCATCCATAACAATGCCATTTTAGTCGGGTAAAATTGCAAGATAGTAGAGAAATATATGTGATAATTGCTAGATAGTAGAGAGAATGTAAAACTGTGTGTAAATTTTGTAGAATGTAAAAACGAATTTATAGTAGATTGTATGTAACTTTAATATTTACTTTAAGTATTTTGAAAATTAAAATGTGACAAGACCATTGCATGGCACTAGGGTTTTCTACCATGCATGCAACACTAGCTTGACACTAGCTTCTTACACAACACGCATGCATTCACTTCACGTGAAACCCTAGTTTTCTGCTGCAGACTTCACATGTTCGCCCATGCAAAGGACGAAGCAAGTATTTCCTTCACATGTTCGCCCATGGGAAGGACGAACTAAGCATTTCCTTCACATGTTCGCCCATGGGAAGGACGAACTAGTACATAGCACGTGAAGAAGTTCGCCCATGGATTGGACGAACCAACGGTCAACCTAGCATGTTCGTGTTTGTCTTGGACGAACTCATTCTACCTAGATTTTCCACTCTTCCACACTTATATTCGTTGAATGTATCTTTGCATGGTATTACAAACATCTCTTATATACCAATATTCCTACTCACATTCAAACTCATTAACACTCCATCTTGCAATACAAACAAATTTAAACTTCTCAGCATTCTCAAAAAACTTCAATCCTACAATCCGAAATGTCTCAGAGAAACATAATTACCACATGCCATTTTAACGGTGTTGTTTCAACAAACACTCCTATTGGATTCTCGTTTTTCAATACAGATACATATGCCTTCAAAATTCATGTCAATTCAGATTTTTTTCATTTTAAAGATAGAATGGAAACCAAATTGGCACGCTGTGTTGAGGAAATCATTTATCGTCATCCCACCCTAAATGAAAACGACTGTACGATATTCTACATTATGACGCCAATAAAAACCAACGAGGATGTGAAGGCAATGTTTCGGTGCCACATGATGTTTGGTCAATTACCTACAATTGAGGTGTATGTCCGACTAGTACAAAATCCCGAAACATTTCCAACGCAGGAAACACAGTCACACTTGTACGGGATGAGCCAAACATCCGACGACGAACCAACGCAAAATAATTTACCTTTCATACCCAATGAGGAGGTGGGCGAACCAAGTGATGACGATATTCTTGAGGAAATCACAATGCAAGATATTTTTGGTAACAGTGATGACGAAGACAATGAAGATGAAGACATAGTTGTCCCGTCTACGCAACCGATCAGCGCACAACCCGTAAGTTTGTATAACCCGCCGACACACATGCAAAATATTTGCGCCGAATATGACGACACAACCTCTGTCTTTGGAAATGCTATTCAAAGCCATATAGGAGACGGAATTGATATAGGTATGGAGTTTGAAAACAAGGAAGCCTGCATCCTCGCCCTGCAGCATTGGCACATAACACACTGTGTGGACTATTGGGTGTGTAAGTCTGACAATGAACGATATGTCATTAAGTGTAAGAAAGAAGAATGCAAGTTCAAGTGCAGAGCTTCATTTAGACAAAGGAACTCGAAATGGGTGATTGGTAAGTTGTCTGGGTCTCACACATGCACCACAACGTCTATGGCACAAGACCATAACAAGCTCAGTTCAGAAATGGTTAGCCATAGCATCAGAGAACTTGTAAACAGCGACGCCTCACTTAAGGTAAAAGTGATCATTGCCCATATTCTAGAAAAATACGGGTACATTATATCTTACCGGAAGGCGTGGATCGCTAAGTGCAAGGCGGTAGAGTCGCTTTACGGCAATTGGGAAACATCTTACAACGACCTACCGCAGTGGCTACTGGTAATGAAAACCTTTCTTCCCGGAACCGTTATGGATTTGCAAACCATACCGGCCATATCAAGTGATGGTTCCCAGATCTCCGGAAAAAGAACTTTCCTTCGTCTGTTTTGGGCATTTCGTCCGTGTATAAATGGTTTCGCATACTGTAAGCCCATTGTGCAGGTAGACGGAACTTGGTTGTATGGCAAGTACAGAGGAACTCTATTGACGGCGGTGGCACAAGATGGCAACGCAAATATTTTCCCAGTGGCATTTGCTTTGGTCGAAGGAGAAACAAAGGAAGCCTGGAGTTTTTTTCTGAGGAACCTAAGATTACACGTGACACCACAGCCAAATGTATGTCTCATATCTGATAGGCATGAATCGATAAAAAGTGCATACAACAATCCAGAAAACGGTTGGCAAAATCCTCCATCTTCGCATGTCTACTGCATAAGACACATCGCTCAGAACTTCATGCGCGAGATTAAGGACAAGGTTCTACGAAAATTAGTAGTTAACATGGGTAAGGAAAAAATTTCGATTATCTAAATTATATAAGCACTTTTTTTTCATTTTTTCTAACGCATTGACGGATACAGGTTACGCATTGACGGAGGCCTCATTTCATTATTATCGCGGAGAAATCAGAAGATCCAACGCTGAGGCTTTAAATTGGATAGACAATATTCCTAGGGAGAAGTGGGCTAGGGCATTTGACGGAGGACAACGTTGGGGACACATGACATCTAACTTAGCAGAAGCAATAAACTCTGTATTAAAGGCCACAAGAAACCTTCCCATCACTGCATTAGTCCAGTCTACATATTATCGATTGGGTTCACTGTTTGGTAAACGAGGACACAAATGGACAAAAATGCTATCTTCAGGCAAAGTTTTCACAGATGGTTGTAACAAGGGGATGGCCGAGGAGGTAGCCAAGGCTAACACACACAATGTCATGCAATTTGATCGGGAAAGATTCTGTTTCATGGTGCAAGAAAAGATTAATTACAACGATGGTCGTCCAAAGGGTACTTTCAGCGTTGACTTGAGGAATCGTAGGTGTGACTGTGGAAAATTTCAAACGTTCCACTTGCCTTGCTCCCACGTGATAGCGGCATGTTCTAGCATACGACAAGACTATGTAATTCACATTCCAGAGGTCTTCACAATACGTAACGTATTCAAGGTCTACAAGGAAAGCTTCCTGGGACTACCGCACGAGGAGAATTGGCCAAAATATGAAGGTTTCACTCTCTGCCACGACGATTCAATGAGAAGAAATAAAAAGGGGCGTCCAAAAAGTAGTAGAATCCGAACTGAGATGGACGACGTAGAAAAAGAGAAGAGACGGTGTGGGATTTGTAGAGAAATAGGTCATATGCGTAGAAAATGTCCCAATGTTGCCGGTCCGTCAAACCGACCGAATAGATAATTATACTGTACTACTTTTGTATTTGATCAATCAATTATTTTTAATTCAACACAACTTTCAAATTACAACAACAGCAGCGAACTACAAACATAAAGTGGATCCGTGAATCCACAAACACAAACATAAAACTCATGAAGCTAACATAAACTCTAACATACAACAGCGACCAACACAAGTGGATCTGTGACTCCTCTGTTGACTTCACCACTATGTGTTGAAAACATGCAATGGACATCTTCATCATTTTCTATGCGATCTAGGTAGTACATGTACGTCCCCTCCGGGCTAGCATCAGTAAGCGTTATATATGGACAACGATACTCAATTTTTCTCACCGTCACGCGACGACCGCCCAGCTGCCGAAACCCACTGTTAATTGCTGCGACCACGGTTCTGAAATTCCACAGCGGATCTAGGTAAACACTTAATTTTTTCTCAGGTCCATAGAAAACATGAGCTTGCACAGACATCTTTGTAAATCGGATGACTTGATACAAATGATAGTAAATTGGCATACGCTTATTTATACAAAAAAATTAGGTCTGAGTTCGGTCATTCCGTGACCGAACTATGTCAATTATTTAATCTTCTAATTTAATCTTGTCATTTTGTTGTTAAAAAAAATTTTAAATTCAATTAATAAAATACTTTTAATATTAAATTAAAAAAATAGTTTTTAAATTAAATTAATAAAATAGTTTTTATATTAAACTATTTAAATAGTTTTTATACTAAATAATATAAATAGTTTTAATATTAAATTATTTAAAAGTATTTATATTAATTTATTTACATATTTTTTACATTATATCTTAATTATAATTAACAAAAAATAAAAAAATTATAATTAACAAAAAAAAATTAAAATAAAAAATTATTTACATAGTTTTAATATTAATTTTTTACATTATATCTTAATTATAATTAACAAAAAATTAAAAAATTAAAAAACAAAAAAAAAACCAACTCCTTCACATGTTCGCCCATTGGATGGGTGAACTTATGCATGGAAATTCGTCTTCACTAGTTCGCCCATGGGAAGGACGAACTTCCTCTTGGGTTTCACTGGTTCGTCCAATCAAAGGACGAACTCACACAAAACCAGGGCATCCTTGTAATTAAGTTTTCAGATAGGGCATTGTGGGATATACAATTTCAAACAAGGGCAGGTACGTCAAAAAATCTCAAAAATACTCCATGCCAAACACAAGGATCCAAAACCTCTTGCAAAACCGCAGGATACACACAAAAATGTCGAAACCGTAACTCGTACAACCCTGCATCCAACAACCAACCTTCTTTAACAAAAGTAACAGGCTGACACACCAAATGCTACACCCTCTGTAAATCGTACCAGCAGCAACAAGGCAATGTCTTCAACATTCCAAAATGCTAATAAAATGAATCCTACTTTACCAATAGAAAAGCCATGCGCAAGCTTTTTACCACAACAAATACTGCACACAAAAAACTCTGCAAAAGACCTGCACATCATACACACCAACACATCACAACAATACCCTGCACTTCAAAAAGCATCCTGCTACCATCCTTCAACAAGTGAAGCTCCAAAAAATCAGCATCATAACCTGTATCTACCAACCAACAACAGCAAATTGAAAGGGACCTCACAATTTCAAAAAGAAGTGGAACGAGTTTGATTGTTAAATAAAAAGAGAGGAGGAAATTCATTCTGGGAGAGAGGTAAGGAAAACCACATTTTCTAACCTGTAACTTAACCTTCCATATTCAACAAAAACAATCGAACAATTTTCAAACACTACACCATTCATGAAAGCTCACAAACCGTCTTCCTCCTTTCGGCCATTTTCATTACCACAGTAACCCACCTTTTTTCATTTCCATTTTTACATTCGATGCTTCTTATTTCCATTAAGATTGAAACACATCTTCCTCTCTTCCTGTGAAGATGCGAATCTGCTCAATATCGTAACTCAATTGAGCTCCTCTCTTTCACAAAAACAACAACTCGCGACCTTGAACCATACAGCAATCACACTATCGCATCACACTTTTTTTTTTGGATATTCTCCCACAATTTGAAAGATCAATCCACCATCACCATAACAAACTTCCACTTATCACTTTTAAACATAAGCAGTAGTGGAAGTTCCAATCACCACCGTGAACTTATCACCGCCACTACGTTTTTCTGTCGCTGTATTTGCGAACACGTGTTTCGGACGAGATTCGTTAGCGGAGCTCCACATCTCCATCTCGCAACAACTTCCACACCACAAATTACTATGTCCACCTGCACTGCTAAACACTAACAACGACAACCTTCGAATCTCCGTCGACCCTTCATTTACATTATCACCATCAGATGCACAATTCAAGCCGCGGCGTAGCGAAGCAGTGAGAAATAGAAAGCCAGAACAGAGGGAAGGGAGAACTAACATTGTCCATGAGTTCTTCGAAAACAAAAACTCACCTTTCATCAATAAGAAAAACTCAACCGCCTTCCAAACAAAACTCCATGAGCACTACCATTTCACACTAACTTCTTTTGTAAACCATACACACAGTTTTTCATCCTTTATCTCCTCTCACCTTAAACTACAGCATCAAATCCCCATCATTGGAATCCCTTCACCTTCACAAACCGTTTCAAAATTTTCAATCACAACAGAAATTTGTGCTGCCCCCTGTTTTCGTTGCGAAACCGTCACACCATTCCTGCAATCTGAATACAAACTTCATTAATTCCCATCAATCTTTCACAACCTCACCTGCTATAGGCTTCATTAAATGTTCTTAACCGAATCCAACATCAACAACCTTCACTCAATACACAAGCCACCACAGATCCAAAACGGAGAGAGTTACATGAAGAAACCTTGGTTGTGATAAACACGCCGAGTCCAAAACCAAAGGATGCTGCTCCATGTTCAGTTTCAAGGGACTCACCCTCCACCATCACAGACAACCCTTTTTCTCTTCTTTATACTTTGAACAACAAATTTCCATCGTCTCCACGGAACCATAACAAGAACTGAGTCGAACTGTAGCAACAGTTGAGTCAAAACGCCCCAACTCAACCAGCAACCTACAACTTTCATTCCGCTGTCAACACCCCCGCGCACGAGCCATCATCGTTATCATTGAAGAGTAGGAGAAGGTGACGCAAGCGGGAGAGCAACCGTGACGGGATTGAGAGGTCAATCAAGAGAGATGAGGTGCGATTTTGTGATGAGGGAATTTGGGAATGAACGAATTTGAGGGTGGATAATCGTGTTCTCTTTTGAGGTCGGGTTTCAAGCGGCCGTTTTTTTCTCCAGGTTAGTTTTTGTTGCATTAAGACTTCAAATGGGTCGCAGCTGGGGAGACCCGATCCGGCTATATGGATTCCCTCTTTTGGGTTTGCTTATTGGGCTTTAAGGCCCTTTATTCAATCCTCACCCCTGCCTACCCCTGCCTTTTTTAAGTCTGTTTTTTAGTATGTTTTCTTTTTATTTTATTTCTCGTAAATGTCATATAAAATGTATATATAACTAAATTTTTATATAAAACAAAAAAAAATAGACTTTGTTTAAAGATAATAATCTTTTTTTTATTGTTGGTATTTTATATATTCTTAATTTAAATTTATCTTGTTAGGTTAGTATTTTAATATTAAATTTAGTTGCATCTTCTTAATTAGTTGATTTGAATATTTGAACCTTTTTATTATATTTTATATAAACTTTAATATTTAGATTTGATGACTTTAATAATAAGATGCCTACAATACATGGTGGAGAAGGAGTGAGAATGGAATCCCTCCTACGCTCACTTGAGTATTTCGAACAATGGAATCCCTCCTACGCTCACTTCGAGTATTTCGAACACAAGACACTCGATTTGGTTATTCGAAATATTCTCTCTCTACTCGTAAACTTTTTGTACAATACGCGTCTCAAACTACGTTTCTCAATGGAATTCAAGACACAATAAAATCGTAAACTTTTGTACAATATGCGTCTCAAACTACGTTTCTTAATGGAATTTGTTCCGGTATGGGCCTCACCTCGGCAGGCCCAATACCAAATGCGGCCCAACAAGCGAACTGGGCACGCCTGGCACGCGCCCCTTTCGAACGAGCAGGACTGGCCGCCGGGCACAAGCTACATCTCCACGTCCCTTTTTGTCGTCCGTCACGCCGGACGAGCAAGACCACCCGGGCTCCCCTCCGCGGGAGAATAACGTGCTCGGCGCACGTTCTCCACGTGCTCCCCTCCGCGGGACACGTCATCGGCCAACCGCCCACCTCCGAAAGAGCAGGTCAAACCCACTTTCCGGAGACCTAGGAGCGGTTGAACTAGGGCGAAGACCACGTCCTGATCTTCACTACGCCACGTAAGCCCTAGCAGTCATTAGGGTTGGGCCTGGTCGTCTGGCCCTCCTCGAATGACCGTTGGCCCAGCGCTGGGGTCTCTCTATAAATACCCTCTTCTTCAAGAGGGTCAGGTAACTCTTCTTGCCCCTTTTTCTGTACTATTGCTTCCTCTCTGTCCAACTTCTTACTTGGGCGTCGGAGTGCTTTGCAGGTACACCCCCCTCCTCTTTCTTACCCCGACGAACAGATAACCGTCCAGCGGAGTGTGGCCAGTCCGTGATCCCTCCTGATCAGGTCAGATCAGAATTCAAGACACAATAAAATGCAGTTAGGATTGCACGCCATGCGCCTTAAGTGGTGGAGAAGGAGTAAGAATGGAGTCCCTCCTACACTCATTCCGAGAGTATTTTGAACACAAGACGCTCGACTTGTTTGTTCAAAATATTCACCTCTAGATATAGCCCTTTAGAACGATCTTAATAAAAAAAACAACATCAACGTACCAAGCCTCTTTTTCGCCTTGTCCACTCAAACTTCCCATTTTTCACCCGTAGTCCCGTGAACTACGAATACTCTGATTCTTCACTTCTTACAAGTGAATATACGTAGGCACGCCCCAATCCTTGGCGAGCACTATAATAAAAAACCAATGATTCTGTAATTGCCAAGAACTCTTTGGAAACACCAGAACAACATGAGTGGTTGGAAACACCAGAACAACATGAGTGGTTACATAAATCCCTAGGATACAATACGATTTCACTGTTGAGTATAAAGCATGGAAAGAAAGAAAATGTCGCTGCTGATTCTTTGCCTAGGATGATGATGTTATGCTGGTCTAGCCCACAAGCAATTAATTCACAAGTGCAGCAGCCTATCCTCACTACACTGTCAAAGAAGGGTTGTTGTTATGGAAGAACATGTTGGTTGTACCTAGTACTGATCCTTTAATTCAAGTCATTCTAAAGGAATTTCATAGCACTCCAATAGGAGGACGTGCTGGTGTCACAAGCACTTTAGCTAGAATAAGTGCTTAGTTTTATTGGACTGCAATGAAAAATACAATCAAGCAGTTTATTAAAGAATGCACTATATGCCGACAGGCCTATATGCCAACAGGCCAAGGTTGTTCATGCTCTCCTTGTAAGATTACAAATACGGGAGTTGAGTTACCGAGTTCATATGCGTACACAACTATAATGGAAGTAGTGGATAGACTTACAAAGTATGCACACTTCAATAGAAGTCGGTCGCAGAGGCATTCATGACACATGTTGTTAAGTTACATGACATGCCAAAGACAATAGTTTCAGATAGGGACAAGGCTTTCACAAGCAACTTCTGAAAAAACTTGTTTCAATTACAAGGGGCAACCTTGGGCTTCCAACCTTGTTTAGCTCACCAACTAAGAATACTCTTTTAGCTCACCAACTAAGAAGGCATCCTTGACAAGGTACTCTTTTCTTTCCAGAAGGTACTCTTTCCCAGAATCCCTGTAGACCCTACAACAATGGTGATTGTTATATGGCCTACAAATCAACTAAAGGTCAACTCACATACTACAACAAACTATACATCATACACCTAACTTTGAAAGAGAACAGAACATTGTCCATGAGTTCTTCGAAAACAAAAACTCACCTTTCATCAATAAGAAAAACTCAACCGCCTTCCAAACAAAACTCCATGAGCACTACCATTTCACACTAACTTCTTTTGTAAACCATATCACACAGTTTTTCATCCTTTATCTCCTCTCACTTTAAACTACAGCATCAAATCCCCCATTATTGGAATCCCTTCACCTTCACAAACCCTTTCAAAATTTTCAATCACAACAGAAATTTGTGCTGCCCCCTATTTTCGTTGCGAAACCGTCGCACACCATTCCTGCAATCTCAATACAAACTTCATTAATTCCCATCAATCTTTCACAACCTCACCTGCTATTGTTGGAAATAATAATTTATTTCCATTAAAGTTGTTCCAAAATGACAAAGTGGGGTTATAATAAATGCTTAGTCCCACATTGGAAGAGGAGTAAAATTAAATAGCATTTATAAGGCACTTGGAACAATGTAATTTCCAAAAGAGCCAAAAAAGGATAAAGTGCCACATAGTCACATGTGGTGATGCCAAAACTTATGTCACTTGTCTCATACAAAACACCCCTCGCCGGTGTCGCCACCGGCGATACCGGCTCCGGAACCGGAACCGGATCCGGGGGCGTGGGCGTAGAGGCGCTAGTGGCGGCTTGTAGACGGCACTTGAGCACTTAGGCACGACGCATCGGAGCAATCGGGCTATTCGCGGCGCCGGTGGCGCTCCGGCCGCCTCCGGCGGGCGGACCGGCCTTCGGCCGGTATACTGCGAATTTAATTTTTAATTATCGCTCAGACTTATTCGTTGCCTAGAGTTTGATTTTGAATTTGAATTTGAAATACATGACACTTG